CCCAAAACTCCATTGAAAAATGTTTAATAATGTCATACAAATGTAAATAATAATAATAATAATAATAAATATCATTATTAAAAATTACAATAGTTTCTATGATATGATATTACCACTTACAAAATCAGTAACACCATCATACTGATTTTTTAAGTGGTAATATCATATAATAGATGTGCTCATATAATGTGCTTGTGTTTGATTCTTGGACATCAATAATATGACTCTGAAATATCAAAACAATGTTGAGAAATATATTAGCAATGTTATTACTACCAAATCAAATGGAGGATAAAAATCACTATTTCTGAAATATCCAAAAGTACCAGGACAGTCTACATGTTTGAAGCACACACACACACACACACACACACACTTACACTTATAAAAAAGGCCAGTATCCTAGTAACTAATGAGTGTAACGTAATCCTCTTGAGTGATAGAGGTTGTTTAGACACTTGCTATTGTGAGCACAGTGCATTTCATTAACACAACTTCATAGCACTGTGTGTATTCACCACTCGAGACGCCTGATGCTCTAATGAGGACAGAGGTGCTGAATACACACGCCGCCATGGCAACAAGACTACCGTACAGTGCGTGTTCATCAGCGCACGTGACCCTGAAGAACAATGGTTATGACAGTTCGAGATGTTGGTGTCACTGCAGGTGCCATCCTTCCTTCAAGCTCACTGCTTGTTTCACAGACCTAAATAACCTTGGATGTCAACATCAGAGCGCTGTCTAATGTCAGTGTTTGGACTGAGCAGTTGTCACATCTCTAACAATATGGGCCAGATTTACTAACAGCTTTCGCCAGGGCAAACCCTTTTTTTAAAAAAACTACTGTCAGTATTACCTCTGGTGCTCTTCGCGTGTCGGTCAAAAATGACAAATGTTTTATTTATTTTTTGTCAATGAAATGAATGTACTATATTTTAGTTTGATAATGTTTTTTATTTAATATTTTTTGTATTTTGGGGGGATTTTTTATACTAAATCATATTTACGCTGTATTTATAATCCATTTATTCACTTTTTGAGCATAGACCTGAACATTTAATTTCCAAGTTAAACTGTCGTTAATCTTGAATGCTTTAGAACATTAGAGAGTTTGATCTCTTTTCATAGACGACACTTGGCAGATTATTGCTGAAGTGAAAAAAGTTTTAAAAAGTGAACTTAAAAAAAGTAACAGAATTTTACGTGTATTGTTATGAAAAATGCACAAAAATACTATTTAAAATTTGTATACGAAATATATATTTTCAAAATCACGTTTTACTCTAAACCTGCAAGAAAATCAAAGCCATTAATCTATACAAATTGTGTTCCAAACTTGAGCTTGATATAAAAAAAAAAAAGCTTTCAGTAAGATTTTGTTTGGCCGCAGTACCAAAGATTTCCACTAGAGGAAATTCGTCTCCCATTCATTTCCAATGCGGTCATTTATGACCGCGAGGAGCACAAGTCTGACTATTTTTGACAGGACCATTAACCTTTTCTTAAAAAATTTGGAATAAAAACAAAATGTTAAATTTTTCGAAGAGCACACGCATTGAAAATTTCCCGATAAAAAGACGTGGACTGTTATTTCTGCAGCTGACCTTGTAGCGTATGCATAGGAGTTTCCCTTTCAGATGCTAAATTTATGGGAGGAGTGTATTTAAAGCAGAACTAAGTAAGAATTCCGTTTTTGTCAAACAGCGACCCCTAGAGTCGCTGTGGAGCACTTGTACTGTCGTGAATAGCACTCACGCAGAGATGGCTCGCACTCACGGCCGGATCCCCTCCCCCTGTACACCGGTACCTGTTCAGTAGGATGGACGCTGTAACAAGTGGAAATAAGGTATGGCCCCTTTAAGAGCTGCGCGCGCCCTGCGTCTCGAACACCACATGTATACGGCGCCGGGTTATTTCTGTTTGATGCTCATTTTATCAGAATTTTATCAGATCTGTTTTTTGCCGTAAAGCAATTCGTTACCTCGCGAGACCTGATATCACACGATACTTCCTAACACTGAGGCCGGCGGCCCAAAGTTGCAAGGGTGGTTTTGCGGCTCACAGGCACCAGGGGGGTGCGAGGCGACCACCATTCAACACGAAATCAGTAATATAAACATTACAATGACTCCAAAGCTGTTCGGTTAAGGTAAAAAAGTTACTTAGTTCACCTTTAAATCACGCAATGTGATTTACTAAGTTTGCAGTAGTTAAGTTACTGGTATGTGTGCCATTAATGAACGTCTGCGCACGAAGGTCCCTCACGAAAATGTGCCCGTGTTGTTCGTAGATTACCCGCACCTGATTATCATCGGCTCTGCTTGTTTGCAACCCTAAGCTAATTTGCGCTGCTCTTGGATTGTGTTGGTCATAATGGAAATGAGCTGCGTCTGTGTTCTTTAATTTGCGCATTGTCAGTACATCACCTGCGTAACTTTCCATTTCCATCTGTGTTTTTATGGGATTGTGGTCACATGCTAATTTGCCCTGTTAAGTAAATCTAGTCCTATATCGCAGTTTGACTCTAATGAGCAAAGGAACATTATGATTCATCATCTACAGCAGACGACTGGAAGCAGGAATCACTGTGTGATGAGTCACAGATCCAGCTGTGTTGGACCAACAGCAGATGCACTGAGCAAACATGAGTTTATCCTGTCAGCTGGGAAATCTTCATTCCGTTGGGCCACTTAAAGCGCCCCTATTATGCTTTTTCAGATTGTACAAATTGCACATTTCATGAGTACGTGTATTTTGCAAAACATTGGCAACTGCTTTTTATCACTTAGTTTGAAGCATAGACCCAATTGATTTGTTACATAGGGACTACTGAACAGACTACGTTTATTCTAAAGTGCAAAGTATTGACAATCATAATTGGGTATTCAAAACTTCGTTTCATTACCTCACTTGCATTCTTCACGTCCACTTGAACATTTTTGCCAAATCCAGGAAATAAAGTCAGTATGGAAGAGCTTGTTTCCCCCACTGAATAAAAGATTTTAAAAGATAATCGCGACTTTTTATCTCACAATTGCGAGTTATGTAAATTCAGAATTGCGTGATATTCAGTTGCAATTGCATGTTATAACTTTTTTTCTTACAATTGCGACTTTATCACAATTCTGACTTTATAACACGCAATTGAGAGTTTATATCTCGCAAGTCTGACATCTTTTCTCAGAATTGAGATATAAACTCGCAAATTTGAGTTATAAATTCCAATTCTAAGGCAGAAGACAGAACTCACAATTCTTGTGAGATATAAACATTCAATTCTGAGAAAAAAAGTCAAGATTGAGTTTATATCTCACAATTCTGACTTTATAACTCACACCCTAAAAAATGCTGGGTTGTTTCAACCCATGGTTGGGTCAAATATGGACAAACCCAATCGTTGGGTTTAAAAATGCAATTAAAAAATGTAAACCAACGCTTGGATTTGTCCATATTTGACCCAACCATGGGTTGAAACAACACAGCATTTTTTAGAGTGCACAATTGCGACTTTATATCACGCAATTCTGACTTTATAACTCGCAATTGCGACTTTATATCACGCAATTCTGACTTTATAACTCGCAATTGCGACTTTATATCACGCAATTCTGAGATAAAAAGTCAGAATTGTGTGATAAAAAGTTGCAATTACCTTTTTTATTTATTTTTTATTGGCGGAAACAAGTTTCCATAAATATGTCATGCAAGTAGACAAGTGTTCGAGTGCAAATACCGCAGGTGTGGGCATTGGGACAGGCCCAATAGTCAGGAATACCACAACATAAGCAGTTTTGGAACACGATTAAGGGAATTAAAGGATGGCAGATTTTTCATGTTCTGATAAACTAATCCTTTGCTTAAAACAAAATTGACTGAATACAGCTACTGGCTATTTTTTGTCTTATAATGCAGCACTTCTATCTCAACATATCTGGGCTTTTAACAGGCATCCTCTTCATTAAACACACATCTATTTACAGCTAGAGCTCATCAACAATATGCAGCTATATAATTTTATGCATATTGAAACAACCCTCTCACATTTGCATAAATTACTTGCATTTAATTATATTGTTCAATGTACCCATGGTTTTGTGCAGACTAAGGGTGCAGTGGCCACACACCTTATAAAAATGTAACACTAATTAATTATGATCAGATATAACTCATTGCATGCATTGTTCAACTGTGTTTACAGTGCATCATATAACTTAAAAGCAATGAGTACATAATTGAAATTGGATATTGATGTCTAGGTATGGCCACATGAGGGCGCTCTTAGATCACTTAGAGAGGGTTGACCCCACACTTTAATGCTAGATAGATAGATAGATAGATAGATAGATAGATAGATAGATAGATAGATAGATAGATAGATAGATAGATAGATAGATAGATAGATAGATAGATAGATAGATAGATAAGATAGATAAGATAGATAAGATAGATAGATAGATAGATAGATAGATAGATAGATAGATAGATAGATAGATAGATAGATAGATAGATAGATAGATAGATAGATAGATAGATAGATAGGTTACTCGTTCCTAGATAGATAGATAGATAGATAGATAGGTTACTCGTTCCTGAAAACCTGTCCAGCTCAGATAATTATAGCCACCAGGAGGTCATGGACGCGGCCAGACATGCAAATCAAATGCAAGACACAGACCAATTAATTTCTGCCTTGTATGGATCTTCTTCATACACCACATGGTCGAACTCATTACAGATTAGATTAATTCATATCACAGACAAAGGTGATTTTACAAAGGGAGTGTGTTGTCTTTGTGTGTGTAGTCTTTTCAACACTATGTGTCATTATGGGATATAGAGTGTAGATTGAGTTGGAAAAAACATTTAAATCACGTTAGCATAATGCAAACTTTTTTGAATGCACTGCCCTTGAGGGAATCACATTGAATCACAATTTAATGTACAGAACTCCATATAGTCCGATTACATTATCAGAAGATGTTGAGTTTCAGACTTACTTTGCTTTGGTGCCAGCATCATCATAGCCTTTGCTTGAGACGTCGTCCAGGCCTCCGATCAAGTGTTTGAAAGAACTGCAAACATGAACAAAATTTCAAACGATTACTTTTATCCACACAATAACACACACACACACGCCATTGATCCAAAATTGCATTTTGCACAAAAAAGTACAATATGCTTGGTTAAATCTGTTAAAATCTGATTAGCTGACTTTATGTAACTTCAAGGAGTTGAGCTACACAAGTTGTTATTACTCTGTCTGGAAGTATAAATGTACTTAATTTAGTCAAAATGGTTTTATCTTCATGATTTAAACAAAAATACATATACTGACCTTGTTTTATGAACGAGGCACAATGAACAGTATTAAAAAGCAAAATATCAACACTAATTTTCCACTTTTCCATATAGTGTGGTGATACTATTTTTCAATTAATAGTACTGTGTTTTTCCTCCATGTGTAAAATAAAATAAAATATTTTGCATTTTGAGTGCGAACCCTGGTGAAAAAAAAAAAAGCTATGTATTGCAGCCAGACTAATTCAGTATACTTCAAGTGTGTCAATGATTAGTTAACTTAAAGTGTGCTATTTTGGAACAACTCATTTTGTATAGTATATTTTAGTTGTAATTAAATTGTAGTAAAGCATAACTTTAAGTGTATTTAGTGTACTTGTGCTAAATTGGAACAACTTCAAGTATACTTATACTTTAAGTATTTGCCTGTGTAGGGACTAATTACATGCTTGATTAGTGATATTAAAGTGTACTTTATTTGTGTTACAAGTACATTACAAATTCATTACGAGTGTCTTCTAAACATACAAGCAATATACCATAAGTGTATTATTTTGAGTAAAAAGTATATGCAGTAATACCTTTGGCTTATTCCAAATACTTCAAATTGCACACTTTGTCTTCAATAACAAATGCACATTAATAAACAAATACTTAGCTATACTTTGTACAATATACTATTGTATACTATGATGTATTTTGAAAGTATTCTTTCAATGCATTTACAGTGATCATTTTCAGCACACAGTTAAAAATATACCTCAAATATATAAAGTGCAAAATATACTTTAAAAAAATAAACAGAATTTTATTTTTAGAAAATATACTTAAGTACAATTATTTCAAAGTGTGTTAAAAGTTGTATTGTGAAAATAGGTAAAAGCATGATGCTAATAACCTTTTTTTTTGTTAGTATATTTGCAATGTACTATTGAAAAAGGAATATATTTCAAATACAATAAAGTATACATTATTTTCACTATATAGGGAATCAGAGCTGAATTCCTGATTTATGCAACAGTTATGCCCTATTTCAGATTAACTTGCCCCTGAACATGAGTCACAATATTGACACAACTGATTCAAGTCAAGTCAAGACATGATCAGGGTTATGTACTTCAAGTCAAGTCACCTTTATTTTTTATAGCGCTTTATACAATACAGATTGTTTCAAAGTGATCAACAGGGAAATAATGATTCAATGATGCAATCAGAATTCAATTTGTCTGCAAAGCAACTCTAAAAAGAAAAAAAAGTCATTGTTCAGCGTCGATTCAGTTCTGCTGTAAAGATCATCAATTATTAAATGAGTTAATTTCATTCATATAGCAGCTTTGCAGAAAACAGTGATGTCATCATCCAGCTCAGTTCAGTTCTCATTCAGTACAGTCAGATATTGTTGAAAAATCAAAGACGTATGATTTCAAAACACACTGAAATTTCATTATGTAGAATAATGATGTTTAATCTGAAGCTTTCAAATTAAAATTTCTAAAACATAATTATGAAAACAGGACTTTGCCAAGGCTGTTGAGTCTAATCTCTGCCAAACAGACATGTTAGGGTTTTTTTCGTTCCACCAAGTCATACTCAGTAGAAATGAGACAAACTTGAACCAAACTATATTTTCTTTTCTTTTTTCTAATGTCACTCATGTTTACTTTTAATAGTTTGTTCATCATATATACATCTAATGTCATAGCTTGCCAGGGGTTAAAATGACATGCCACCCCTCAGCCAGATGCAAAAAAAGTACTTTTTTCCCCCCTGACTTATTAAATCAGAGAAATATTTTTAAATATCTTGCTACATCATAAGAGATTTAGACATGAGAGGGAGCCAGTAATAGTGTTCATTACTACAGCTGAGGGCTTCAAGATGTGACTCATCCACCAGAGAAATCTCACATTATCTCACATTTTTGCTAGAACTGATGAAACATTGAAACTAAAAGGGGAAAAATATTTGATGGTTCAGAGCTGAAATGTAGGATTAATCGCTAGCTTTAAATCCTAATGGCATCGTTTCGTTTGATGTAACCATGATTTATACAGTCTTTTAAGTCTTGGCAGCGGAGGTCAGGCAGGACACCAGTAACCCGAGCCTTAATAATCATTTGATGGACATTTAAAGTGTGAATGACTTTATATCACTGCACTGTTGACCCGTCCCATGATGTAGGCTATTCTTAGCACAGTCCCAAGCGAAGCCCCAGAAATGCAGAAATGTTTTGCGGGTGTGAATCCATGAATGTCACTCACATAAACTTATATTTCAAGCATTAAAATGCTATTTAAAGATCTTTGACTTTCAGATCTTAAAGGTGAAGTCTATAATTTCTGCTTCAGTCACAGAACCAAATGTAACTGCATGTAACTCTTCAAATTATTACTCTATTAACAAAGATCAATACATGATGTAGAAGTATTGTTCATTGTTAGTTCATGTTGACTAATGTAATAAGAAACCTTATTGTAAAGTTACTTTATCTATACATTTATTTAATAAGCTTTAAATTAATTTATTAAATCTAACAAATGTATTAACTCTAAAAATGTCAAATGGTATAACCTTCAAGTAAAATATACAAAAAAATATGTGTATAGATCATAATTATTTTCAAGTTTTAAGCACATATTTTTTAAATACAAACCGTATTTATTTTACAAAAACGAATTTTTAATGTTGAAATATCATTTGTTTTTGTGGGTTGTACCATATGACATATAAATAATATTTTATCAAAACTTATTTATTGCCTTTATAAAAATAGATGATAATAATAAATTATGCCAAATTAAAACGTATTTTAAAATTTTCATCTTTTCATGATGCCCTTTTCTTCGTTATGATCTCAGGAAGGTTTTAACATTACTTTATTTACTTTATCAAAATGAATTTTAGTTTATAAATTAAAAACATGTTCATCATAAAATAGTTGTATATAAGAATGCCATTTTTATGTATTTTATTAATGTATTTAATCATGTATATTTATTATTTAATGTATGATTGAACCTGTAAAATAATAGTATTTTAATGAGCATTACCATAAACCCTCTGATTAATGATAAAACTGAGGCAATGCAACTTCCTAAAAAATGATTTGTGCCTTTGATAATTAGAAGTTGAACAGTTATTTCTCTGTATGTATGTTTTGTATGTTTTTAAGGAAATGTTGTAATATTGCAACGTTGGGCCTGTTGGGTAGCAGAATTTCTGTCTGAACAAATATACTCTAATAATCACACAATATTAGTCATATTTTTATGAAAAAATAATTTATTATAAAAAATATGTTCAGATTGTATTTACAAAACCTGATGAACTGAATGAAAACTATGGCATTAATGTGATTTAGCTCTGTTCATAGCAATATTCAATTATGATAGTCCCAAAGGCAGAAGCAGAGATGGACATTGAACTTGCTGGAAAGTGTGTTTGTGTAGGCTTTACCACAGTGTCTGCAGCGGCCTCTATTTTGTTCATATCTTCTGACACAGACTTTTGGAAATACTCCAGTGGTGTATGAAGGGAGACGACATCATTAGTGATACCCTGACCGGAAAAATCTGGATTTTATCAGCCAGAGATACCCGTCACAGGGCATGGTCTGTGTTCTTGAACGACTTGATTTTGCTGTCATGATGATGTCCACATAATCATCCGATGGGTGGTCACTGGGTTTTCCTTTTCCAGTTCACAGGCATCTCCACATTCCCCTTCATCAGAATCCATTTCAAAATCACTGTTCCCATTTTGGATGGCACCAATGACATCATGCACTTTGTAGATAATAGTCTATCCTGGCTGGTGGCATTCTGAAATAAAAAAATAAAAAACACTGCTTATGTTCCATATCCCAATCATACACATTTTAAAGAATTCACAAATTCCACAGAATTCACACAATACAGTCTGGCTAGCTTATTGTGTCCTCTACTTGTCACGCTAATAGCATTTATACCCCCCATTCCAGAACATCATCACCTGCCCTTCATGCAAAGCAGATATTTGGGCAAACAAACAAAGCCAAGAAAAGAAAACAGGACCAGTTAAGTATATTTTGATAAGATACGTAAGATAAGATGATAAGATAAGATACTGTAAGATAAGATACAGATAGTTTCAAATATTGCTGCACAAAAACTTTCACACTCTCAAAGAAATAATTTATTCCTTAATTCCTTTATTCCTTAAAACTTTAACTTATCATTTAATAATAACTACTGTAAGTTTTGATTAAAACTCAAAATTGTAAAAAAAAAGAAGACATCTAAAACTTGTGAATGATCAAAAACATTGTTTCTACTAGTATTTATTTCACATGGAACAGATGAGAAGTCAAATGCATCCATGTAATGTGAAAGGTGCACAGAAACATGTTGCTACCCCTTTTACCCAGTGTTGTAAAATTACGAATATATTTAAAGCATTCAACGTTGCCTTAATATCTGCATGATCTAGACACTAATCACATACAAAAAATGTTTTGTGCATTTTACTTACTTGAATGTTGATTTATTCGGTCCAGTAAAACAAGATGATCTGCTTCAAGTTCATGTGAGTTCATGGCCAAGTGAACAAGCCTATTCACAAAATATTCCATCCAATAGCATTCCAAGGATGAACATTAGGACCTATTAGTTGTGTTAATGGGTCTTTACGAGAAGAAAAACATCTGCAGGTTTATTTTAGTAGAGCTAAAATTGATGTTGTTATATTACAACAGTGGGCATATTGTTTAGTTTTTGACCATAAACCATAACCAAATCTGTCCACTCCAGTTAGTTTGTATATTTCTTTCTGCCAACAGAAACAGCTTCCAACAAAGCCAAAGTGAAACCCCTCTCTGCTCATAAGTCATAACACTCTGAAATTTTGAATTTCTAAAATTCCTATGCAGAAAATTAATTCTGGATTCCAAGCTACTAAAACAAAAACATGAGCATCCCTGTTGCACTCTAATCCTACAGGGAATCTGCATGAAACAGTGGTTAAAATCACAGGTCAGCTAGCACACAATATAAAGAGTCTCTTAATGAGCATTACCATAATGCTCATTAAGAGGACTGAGATAATGTGCGATTTCCTGCAGTGACAGTAAAATGTGGTTTGCGTGAGGCGTTGCTTATTTTATCCCTTCCTCAGATTGAAGGATAATCAAAGTCTCTGGAGTATGGTGTCTACAGGGGTAAGAGGAGGTTTTGTGAGTCCCGCTGTGCAGATAGGCATTGTGTCCCGCACTGTTCTGACACACGCTGTGCCACTCAAACGAGGACATGCGTTTGATTCCCGACAGTCTGATGTCTAACTGGCGTAAACTAGCCCGAACTTTCCGCGGTGGAAGTCGTGAGAGGTCATAAGAAATTAGCGGAGGTAATTTAGTGCGCACACAGTGGAAAAGATGAAAGTCTAATCAAATTTCACAGCATCAGTACACACACACACACACACACACACACACAAAACTCACTCTCTGTCGATGACGAGGCAGGTGACAGCTTCAGCGGAGACGACATTAGCCGTCCTGATGTCTTCTCTGCGGGGACACAAACAATTTATATCAATCATACACAGCCAGAATCTACAATGTATTTGTTTTTGTTTTGTTTTGATTAATTCTTGAACCACATGATATTATTTCGTTTTTCTCAAACGCTTTGGCACATTTTTTTTTCAAAACGGTCCTTACATTCTCTATTCTCAATTGTCACAACTGTTTGCTGGAACATCTGAACTCTATTGCATGTCTGCAAAATGTAGTAACTCACCCAAAACAATTAATTCATGCTACAAAACCTAGTTATTGTGTCTGTAAATTGGCCCATGCTACAGTGGCCGAGAGAGCTCAACGCGCTGCAACTGAAGAAAACACATGCAAATAGAAAAACACCAGCAAAATAAGAAAACATCTTCATCAGTTTGACAACACATGTGCTGCAAATAAAATCTCATGTTTTTTTCTACTTTTTTGTTGATGCTGACTGCTTTCTACACTGAGCTTTTTAGATACAGATTTCAACAGTAGGCTAGGTAAAAATGTCTAGGTAAAAGTAGGTTAAAACAATTTTTTTGTAGAAATATGTTACATGTAAACTACAAATTAACAGTTGCTTGTTCATTTTTACAAACTTTATTATATCTTCCTTTAACATTCTTACATATCTTCCTATTGGTCTTCCGCGACAAGCAACTGTATATTTTCAGTTCACATTTAACAAATTTTTACACAAATAAATGTACGGTATACAAATATACACTCACCTAAAGGATTATTAGGAACACCATACTAATACTGTGTTTGACCCCCTTTCGCCTTCAGAACTGCCTTAATTCTACGTGGCATTGATTCAACAAGATGCTCTATTGGGTTGAGATCTGGTGACTGTGGGGGTCATTTTAGTACAGTGAACTCATTGTCATGTTCAAGAAACCAATTTGAAATGATTCGAGCTTTGTGACATGTTGCATTATCCTGCTGGAAGTAGCCATCAGAGGATGGGTACATGGTGGCCATAAAGGGATGGACATGGTCAGAAACAATGCTCAGGTAGGCCGTGGCATTTAAACGATGCCCAATTGGCACTAAGGGGCCTAAAGTGTGCCAAGAAAACATCCCCCACACCATTACACCACCACCACCAGCCTGCACAGTGGTAACAAGTCATGATGGATCCATGTTCTCAATCTGTTTACGCCAAATTCTGACTCTACCATCTGAATGTCTCAACAGAAATCGAGACTCATCAGACCAGGCAACATTTTTCCAGTCTTCAACTGTCCAATTTTGGTGAGCTCTTGCAAATTGTAGCCTCTTTTTCCTATTTGTAGTGGAGATGAGTGGTACCCGATGGGGTCTTCTGCTGTTGTAGCCCATCCGCCTCAAGGTTGTGCGTGTTGTGGCTTCACAAATGCTTTGCTGCATACCTTGGTTGTAACGAGTGGTTATTTCAGTCAAAGTTGCTCTTCTATCAGCTTGAATCAGTCGGCCCATTCTCCTCTGACCTCTAGCATCAACATGGCATTTTCGCCCACAGGACTGCCGCATACTGGATGTTTTTCCCATTTCACACCATTCTTTGTAAACCCTAGAAATGATTGTGCGTGAAAATCCCAGTAACTGAGCAGATTGTGAAATACTCAGACCGACCCGTCTGGCACCAACAACCATGCCACGCTCAAAATTGCTTAAATCACCTTTCTTTCCCATTCTGACATTCAGTTTGGAGTTCAGGAGATTTTCTTGACCAGGACCACACCCCTAAATGCATTGAAGCAACTGCCATGTGATTGGTTGATTAGATAATTGCATTAATGAGAAATTGAACAGGTGTTCCTAATAATCCTTTAGGTGAGTATTTATACAGTACTGCTGTAGCTGCTGCTCTTTAGAGTTGGGACGTTCCTCCATGCTCAAAAATGGTAATGATTGTGCCATGGATAAACTCCATATACTGTGCTTCCAAACTTGATTGGTTGATTGGTAAGATTGTGATTCCTATTTCATTACAATAAAACCCACTGTAGCATGTTTGTAACTGTGCAGCATGTGAAAAAAGTATACTGTTCAGAAAAATTAGCATCCATAGAACACTGACTCTGCCTAATCAGTGGCAAAATGAACCAAAGTTAATCATCAGCCATTGCTATAGCACATTTTTCACCGCATGGCACAGCGCAACCCAAACATTCGTCGCTGTAAGGTTTCTCATAACACAAACACACACGGCACACAACAGTTTCTGTGGCATCACTCAGCATGGTTGCCCTGTGTCACTAGAGTCTTCTTCACTGTCTGACAAACATTCACAGGAAGTGAAGTCTATGTCTAAAGGAAAGATGAAGGCATAGACTGTCCTCTTAGTGGCCCTCTGTACTGAGCTGAACTTCAACACAGCCCTGTGTGTGTGCGTGTGTGTAACTGGATTTGTTCCCACATGGATAGTAATATCAGTAAATTTTGAGGTAAACAGCTTATAAGCTGTTTACCTCAAACAGCTTATAAGCCCATGAGGTAAACAGCTTATAAATCATACTAAATGATGTGGTTTGAAAATCTAAAACTGCAATTTGTACAGTATAAAAATCATTATCTCTGTGGGAAGTCCCCATAAAACATGGAAACCAGTGTGTGTGTGTGTGTGTGTGTGTGTGTGTGTGTGTGCAGGGGCGTAGCACAAGATCCCGGGCCCTATGCATAGGCAGTCCTGATGGGCCCCACAATGCAATGCAAACAGCCTATTCATTTAAAATTAAACATGTTTCAAATTAGGCTATTATAATGAAGTTTTGTATGCAAACAGCATTATTAGTGTACAGTTTACATGTAGAACCAAATTATCATCTGAAAGTGTATGTGGCAGAACATACACTTTCAGATGATAATTTGGTTATATGTAATCTGAGGTAAAGGCTAAATAAATAAACTGTACACTAATAATGCTGTTTGCATACAAAACTTCATTATAATAGCCTAATCTGAAACATGTTTAATTTTAAATTAATAGGCTATAATATCTAAAATTAGCAATAATAGGCTAATCAGTGTCACTCATAGGTAGCTCTGTAGCTACAGTGAAACTCGAAAAATTAGAATTTTTCTGCTCTTTCATTGGGTTGTCTCAGTTCATTTTTAGCACTAACGATCGCGGAGATATTCAAGCAGTTTAGCACTATAAATTTCGTGTTCTGGTTTGTGCTCACTTTTCTTTGAAAAGAAGTCAGTAACCAATTGTTTCCCCTCATTTTCTTTTCTTTCCTTCTCCTGTCTTTACTTTCTTTTTTGGTGGCCTGATTTAGCTTTCTTTGAGAAAGACATTTCTACAGCGCTCAACGAGATGCAGCTCAACTAACATTTACAAAATGCGTGCAGATGGACTAAACCATTTGGCGCATTAACAAGGGGTGGGACCATAAGACCGTCAATCAATCAATCAACCAATCAACCAAGTTATTCAGTTAATACACTAACTTTACATTTCATCTGACATTCATTATGAAATTTAATTAGGAAATGAAAATATCAAGGTAAAATAAAATATATTCCAGACTTTTCAAGGGCCCTCTCTCCCCTTGGGGCCCTGGTAATCAGTACTGGTTTTACCCCCAGTCCGACGCCCCTGTGTGTGTGTGTGTGTGTGTGTGTGTGTGTGTGTGTGTGTGTGTGTGTGTGTGTGTGTGTGACAGCTCCAAACAGCTGCACAATGCCAATTCACAATGACCAGGTGGGAATGCTGATTGCCTTCACACAAAAACAGAAAGTGCCTCTAAACTCCCAAACCAGGCTCATTGGAAAAAACATCCCTGTGGTGATATTTCTGCAAAATGATATTACGTTGCCTCTTGATGTTTTGTGCCACTTTCAAAGTGAAACGTCCAGTGAGTGGCAATACAAGCATGTTCAGATTTATTTGAAACTTGAATGCGGCAGTATTTTATTACATTAGTTGTTGTACATATCACGGCAGTTCAGAAACAAAATGTCTGGTGATTGGCGCTAAACGGTTAATGCTCTATCGTGTTTGAAAAACACATTTGCTGAAACTACCATGCCATTTTAGCTTACTTCTACAAGATTTTGACATCTTTTATTGTGACTCGTGTTTCACAGGATTCATACCTGAATGATCCACATCACAAGTACAGTGCTGTATCAGGTGACCTACCAAGCAAGTTTACTATCTTAGAAAAGCCAGAAATATGGAGCTGGTTATGTGCAAATGTCAAAATGTATTTGTTTACAAATCATGAACTATGGCACAAGTGTTTTGAGGTCATAACATATATTGTTCATGGAACCTCATGAAAAAAAAAGTCTTTATTAAACAATACTTTGCTCCTGTAACCATAACTAAAAAAGAAATGAATGTTGTTGGTGTTTTTCTACCACTAGTGTAGATTGTATGTACAGGTAGTTAAGTACGCTTTTGGAGTTTTGCAAAAATGTAGGTAGAGGCATGTATTTTTTTTTTTTCAATGAGCCATAGGTAGTCTGTGAAACCATTCCCAGTAGTGCAATATTATATTTATTAACTCATATTTTATATTTTTATGACTTATGACTGATTACATATAATAATGTTGAACACTAAAGCAAGCTATTATTGGCCATGCTTTTTGAACAAATTTGAACTAACCCCTAACTATAGGTAATAAATGTTATGGTGCAACTCACCCTGTTTGTGCTAAGGAAACAAACCATAACACAAATCATCCGGCTTGTTAAACTCCATAGCAACTGCAACATGAAAAACTACTCAGAGCACCTGCGACTCCGTAACAATTCCCTGACAACCACCCACAACCCCTTGCATTGTGGCAGAGTTTTAAACAGGGAAGCACCACTCAAACAAACTGCGAAAATCTTGTTGCATCTTTACAATTACATTGATTGTTCTTCAAATAACTGATTTGTTCGGCAACATTAAAAGGACATCAACAAAACCAGCTGCAGACAGCAGACCACTTATGTACAATTACCATAAATAGCCCGTAAATTGCCTGCCACATACACACAGTCATGGCGTGTGACTAAAGTAC